AGAGTAAGATAAGAGATTCATTATTTAAGAGAAAATAGCTACAATATTAAAAGACTCCTCTCAACCTCTTCTAAATAGTCCTCATCTCTCTAAGGACTCTTTCAAAATTCTCCTTACATCTCTCTATCTTTTCACTCACCACACATGTCACCCCATGGGGGTGGGTTTTCCACATCAAAGGTGTGTCTTCGTCACACAATTCTAGATTTGCTAATAACACATATTGATACGAGATTCAGATAGATTTTTTAGATTCCTATTTGGAGTACAAATTTAAGTCCTAATAAGAGTTATAATATATTATTATGTGGGTCGCAAGGTTCCTTGCAAATAAAGCTGAAGTCAAATTAGGAGATGATATGTCACTATGACTCCAAATCCAAGCTCTAGTTAAGATTTTTCATATTTGTTTTGAGCAATTCGAGACACCATTCTCATCAACAATCTCCCCCTTGACTTGAATTTCTCAAACACGTACTCCCCCTCAAATCAAATGCTCTCCCTTCATCTTGGCCTTCTCTCATGTTTAAGCAAAACCTCTTCGTTGTTTCTTCCAAATTTTGTTTCCTCCACAAGTCCATTGCATTAGATTAATGCCTTCTTCAAGTTAGCAATCTCTTTGTCAATGTCACCCACATCTTGAACACACATGATCATCTCATCATCTCAAAGTCTTCTCTAGGTCAAGGAGCCAACTTGAAAATTTGTTGTGACCATTTTGTTTCGCCTAGAGTTGAAACCGTAAGATCTAATACAATTGTTGTGAATTAAAAATTTTCCCTTTGATATTTAATACTACAGTTGAGAATAAAATTCTCCTCATGCTCTGATATCAATTGTCGGGATTTGATTCACGAAGGAATCATGCAAGTGAATAAATAATAAAGCAAAATATGAGACGAAAACACTAGTTTAATGTAAAAAACCCTCAATAGGGAAAAACCATGAAATAAGATTAGTAGTCCACTAATCAAGAAAAAAGAGTTACAATATTAAAAGACCCTTATCATTCTCCTCAAGGTACTCCTATTATTTTCTCCAAAAACTTCCTTAAGATTCTCCTTGTATCTCTCTCGATCTTTTCACTCATCACATGTTACCTCATGTGGTAGGGATTTTCATAACAAAAGTGTGTTTCCACCAAACAATTTTAGATTTGCTAATAACACATATTTATACTAGATCTAATTAAGGTTTTCAAATTCTTACTAGAAGTACAAATTTCAAATTCTAATAAAAATTACCATATATTATCATGTGAGTCCTAAGTTTCCTTGCAAATGAGGTTAAAGTTAAATGAAGAGACTAATCTCCCTATAACTGCAAATCCAAGCTCTCCCTCAAATCATGTTTTGAGCAATTCAAGGCACCATGTCCAATACATTCTCTATTAAACTTTGACACACAAATTGCAATTTAATATTCATACCTATGATAGCCAGCAAAGCCGGTGTCTATAGTCTTTTACAGATTACCAACCACAAAATGAATCAATGTTTAGGAAGTACAACCTTATCTTGAGTGCAACTTTAAAATTTCTAACTCATTGAGTATAAATTTTTAAAACTAATACAAAAAATTGTTTGTTTAATTAATTTATAAAATTTGTTAATTTTATTCTAGCATTTCTAAATTTTCTAAAAATAAAAGTTTAATTAAAATTTGCTCTTTGATTCTTATCATGTTTTGAAGAGAAATATTGTAGCAACTCTCACCCATAGTGAGGGGTGGGGTTATTATCACACACTCAATAATTTATGTCAACATTAGTGATTAAGGATGTGGCAATCCCCCTTACACTACTAGAATAAGGCA